TGTACTCCATAAGATGTACATCAAGCTAAGACCTTCCACCAAGGAAGGGCCTCATTTGTAATCGACTGTAATACTAGTGGATTCATTCAAACTGGGCTAGGCCCCGTGGTTTTTCCCCCTTTTCAGGGGTTTTCCACATAAAAATCTTGGTGTCTCATAAATGCTAGACCCTTTCTCTTATCTGATTGCGTGCCGAATTTTCGTACAATGCTAAGACGTTAAACTTTTTATTTCTTTACCGCCGCAAATACTCCTGGATGCAGCAAAACTATTTAAAAAGTTGATAAAATTAAAAAATAAAAATTTTAGTTTTTATGTGCTATTCAAGACTTGATTGTATTGTTATAAATAAATTAATTATAAATTTATACATTACATATAAAAAAATGTAGCTATTATTCTATTCTATAAGGATCATTACATCAAAGAGATTAAATTAAAGATTGTTTGGATTTTTTTTTTTTGTATTTTACTCTTTTAATTTTAGATTTATTTGACTATAATATTTTTATTATTTTTAAGAAAGGTTTATAATGAGATATTTTTTGTAAAAATAATGTTATATTCAACTTGAAAAATCTATAATTATTGAAAATAATTTAAAAGTTTTTTTTAACAGCGAAAAAGAAAAAAAAAAAAAACTTAAAGCTGTGAGCTAAAATTCGCGACGGTTGGAAGGCCGCGGTGAGAGTATCCTGTGTCGGTCTCTCGTCAAGGTATCTGCGACCTCTCCCTCCTCTTTCGGTAACCTCACGCCAAGGTTGGGAGCTGTAGGATTTCTTCCGTTCTGGATCCGACGCATGGTCTCCCTTCCACGCTGGGATCATGAACACATCGAACGACAGGAGGATGGCGAGCAAGATCTCCCGCCTATTCTATGAAACTCCATCAGTGTCTCACAACGACGGCGATTCTTCCCCTACTTGCCGCCCATCAAAGCCGCAGGTATGGATCCCCCGTCCCCGAATCATCCCTCTCATTTGGCCATTTTGTTGTTGCATGTAGTTGTTTGTTGTTGTCCTGTATTTATGTTCCTATATTTTATTGTTTGTTTCTGGATCTGCTATCTTTTCGATGTCCAAATTGTGGTATATTTTGTTTGGTTCGAGTTGCCTTTTTTTATTTGAATGTATTATGTGCAATGAATGCTACTCGAAGGAAGTTGCTAAGGATGACAATGATGTTTTTACGTGGACGATCCGCAAACAGTTTTGTGGCAATGAGGGATTGGATGTGTCTTTCCAGCTATAAAGAATTTACATTTTTGGATATTAATGCAATTTGATCATTTTGTTGTAGCGTCTTGAGTAAAGGCTAATACAAATAAGAACTTAATGAAATCGGAAATTAAATGGTGGGACTGGGAATGGGCCAAGAATTAATCGAACTTATGGGAGGATCTAGCACTTGTCAAAACTTGATACCCAACTATCTTGAAAGCTAAAGCACAATGGCTTGAAATGAACAGGATCATTCTGCTAGAACAAATGCTTAGACCCAATATAACATCCTAAGCTCAAACTCATGGCTGTTCTTCTGATTTCACACTAAGCTCAAATGCTTAAATAACCTAAATGGACTTAGCTTGTAGTGCGGAGACTTGCAATTATAACTCTTGAGTCTTGACGAAATGTGATTGTAGTACTAGTAACCGATGTCCCGTATTTGGGAGGATGGAGTTATCTATCAAACTGTTCATATAAAAGGTATATTTGCTTCTAATTTTGTTGGTTAACTTGTGACATGGACTTGGGGCTCGAAAATACTAAATTTCCTTAAAAAATTTGTGCTCCGCGGCTTTCCCTCTTCTATGTTTTCTGCATGTCACTTAATGGCATGTTTTTCTCAAGTCATTTTTTAGAATGTCTTGAAATGCTCTTAGTTGAAGAATGACGTTTATTCAAGTGTGAAGTATAAAGAAACTGCATAAACTGGCAGTTTTTTTTTGGTTATTGTGGATTAGATGCAGTTCTACTATATTTTTTGGGGTTTTGGAATAATAGTAAGTTAAAATCAAACAAAATGAAAAGTAACATTAAAAGAAGAATATGGCTGTCACTAATGGTATAAGTTCATTATTGGTTGACATCATTTTCCTAAAGAGAGAAGTATCAAAATTGTCCATTGACTCTTTATGAAAGATCAAAATAGTCCTCAATTATATTAAATGATCATTTTGGTCATTCAACTTCTTAAAAAGGAACTAAAAACATCCTTTAATGTAGTTGGAGATCATTTTGATCTTTCGTAAAGAGTCCGGGGATCGTTTTGGTTATTTTCTCTTTTCATAAATTGCACATTAATTAAAAGATGAAAAGCAGTAAAGGGAAGTGATTTCTACCAATTTTCTAAATTAAAGCATTTGCAGGAGGCTCTCTTAGCCAAAGAGAGTTGCTTTCCATTTTAAAATGATTTGCTTGAGAAGATATAAGGCAAGTAGGTGGTGCCCTTGCCTTAGTTGAGTGTTTGTGGCATGAATGTGTTAGCTCCTCAATCAGAATGGCAAAAGCATTGCCTAATATTTAACTTTATCATGAATTTTCAGAGCTTGTTATTGAAAATTGTCATCATTATTAGCTTTAAACCAACTATTTAGGGTTGAATTTATGAATATTCCATGACCAATTGTATGCAGTAAATAGTTTGTTTTCCTATGGTCAGGGCATCTTGAATTTGGCTGAAATTTGAGATTTCTTAGGTTTAAGTTTTTGGGCTCTAGCGGCGTCTAGAGATTTGGGAGAGATTGATCCTCCTCTCAAATTGAGGATCAACTATATCTTTCTATTTTCCGTTTCTATTTCATCAAATAATACAAATTATCTACTGTTTTTCTGGGTTTTGTGTGGATTCTTGCTGAGAGCTTTTGCTGTTTTCCAAAGATTGATAGGAAATTCTTAAAATCTTCAAGTGTTTTCAGTCAAATTACTGAATTGAAATTTTTATCGAACTTCATGATATAACCTAGTAATAATCTACTTAGATTTATTTAAAGAAATACTTGTGGGTATACAGCTTAATTTTCTTCTTTTAGGTTAAGTAATTGCCGAATAATTATGATTCTGTTTTTATTTTTCATCCATATAAAATTTATATGATGATTTCATGCGATGTGAATTTCTTCAGACTGAGATTATCCAATCTAGGTGACAGTTTTGAATTGTTTCAATTTGAGTGAGTTTTCTAAGCATGATTTTAGAAGGAATTATCGCCTTAATGATCCCTAACTGGAATAAATCCTTTCATTTGCTTGTACAACTTATTTCTATGTTTGCACATTTTTTTATAATGCAGGCATTACCTGTTGCCGTGGATGAAATTTCTTCCCAGAAGAGATTTACTTTTTCTTCATTTTTTTTCTCTCTGCTCCCTGCTACATGCTCTGGTGTTGGGCAAACAGTTTCGTGTAGTACTCAAGGTCATAGATTATCTCCATCTCAATCACATTCTAGAAGTTCGAAATCTAGCATTTCTGCTTTCAAAGATGGACCGTTGGAAAATGACAAGGTTGACGAACCTGAAATCAATATTGATCTTACATCTTCTGTTGCTAAAGGAAATGAAATTGATGTTTCTGAAAGGCGTGTTAAGGCTGCAGAGACAACTGAAGAGTCGTCTTCCTCAAAAGCCTCATCAGTGTTGATTCCCCATCTTACGGAGAAATCAACGTTTGTAACTGCTGATTTGTTTGACTTCCTTCATTCATGCCTCCCTAACATTGTGAAAGGATGTCAATGGGTGTTATTGTATAGGTAATTTCTATGCCTTACTTTATTAGTATATGGTTAAAATATATTTTGTTTCTGATGTGCTGCTTTTCTGCTGTAATGAAGGGCAGTTCCATGAAGCATGGGATATCGCTTCGAACACTAATTCGTAGGAGTGCTACTGTTACGGGTCCATGTTTACTAGTACGTCTTAGAAAGAAAATAGAAATTAGAATTTATTTTGTACGCTTTGGTGAAATGTTATATTTTTTCTTCTTGGAATTTTATCCTTCTATGTTTTACATTATTTTAATATTTTAACAGGTCTTATTTATTTAGATGACTTTGTATGCTAGGTTGTTGGAGACATGCAAGGAGCTGTATTTGGTGGTTTGTTGGATAGTCCTCTAAAGCCTACAATCAAAAGAAAATACCAAGTATTTTCTTTTTAACTCGTTTCATACCTATATAAAATTTTAATAATGTTTCTTTTGATTGTTGTAGTTAATTTTGTTGGTGAAAATTTGACCAAAAATATTATGTTGATAGGGTACAAGTCAAACTTTCGTATTCACGACAAGATATGGGGAACCAAGGCTCTTCAGAGCAACCGGTAAGCATTCAAATAATAATTGGCTTGTTTTCTTGAAAAAAAAATATATGTTAGGTTATAGTACATTTAGCGAACAGTGAAGAGATTGTATTGCCAAAAGAAATTTTGTTAATGACGCACCCAAAATGTTGTCAATTTGCACAATGTTCGACTGTTCAGTTATTATTGCATTTTAGTTCAACTTCAGCAGAATGCTATGCGAAAATCCACAGATTTTTCAGAAATTTACCTAAGCCGAGAAAATCTTGAAGTTCAGTTAATTTGTTTTAGTGTTTGCACCGTGATTCGTTGTTCTCTTTTCCATGCTCCTTTTGTCAAGCTCTGCTACCATTGTACTTACAGTAATCGTCATTAGTATATGGAGGGAGCAACACCAATAACATCTTTGAATTATTCAATTTACTTTCGGCGTGGTAATTATTTAATAGCATTAAAGGAATTGGGGATTCATGTTCGTTACTTTTATTGATGTGGGCATATAGGGAAATGGATGGAAGCAATGAGTAAAGATGGAAGTAGATAAAGGAGGCTGGAGAGTTGATTGCATGCTTGATAGCTCCACTTTTGCATTAGTTCCTAGAATGATCTCTCTTTCTTTCCAATGCTTTTTTTTTTCCTAACTAATTTTCTATAGTACCATCCCAACAGTTGTTGCATGGATCACTTTATATTGACTATTGCATGCCAGTCAGTCTTTTTATTAGTCTTCTCGCTTGATCTTATGGCGTTTTTGTACATTGTCCAAGCTCTGATATAGACTTACTTTATTTGAACCTTTATTTCCATTTTGCGGTGTGTTTATAATATCTTATTGCACTTTCATCATTTTCTCAATTACTGTACGTTGTCAATGATAATTATTTTTCATGTAGCATTTTTATTGATTTTTCCTGATGCCTATTGTCAAGAGAGGTGTGATGTTTACTGTCTTTTGTTGGTATATTATTTTTCTTGGATTGCTCCTTCCACTTTTTGGCAGTTTGGCTTATTCTAAACTTGCAAACTTTAGAGGTTATATGCTAATTGCCTCCTACTAAAGGTTTCAAGAAGTGAAAAGGTCACTTCCAGATTATCAATATTTGAAAGCAATAATCTATCAGATTATTGATTTGTCTAATATTTTTTGTAATGAAGATTGTGGAATATAATATTGTTGACCTTCGTATAATGTCCAGTCCTCACAAAATGAGGGCGAAATCTCTGGGTAGTGTCTTATCTACAAACCCATCTGCCTTCCAAAATTTACCTCGGAACTTAGTTCGTTAAAACTCCCTCGCCGAAAAAGAAAAAGCGAGTGGAGGCTGAGGCCGAATTTTCGGAGCCCACAAATATATCCAAAGTTCAAAAATGGCGTGGACTCTGGTCAACATAGCTAGGTATGCAAGGGGAAGCTGTGGCACAAGCCTAAATTGATTCTAACATCAAAGACTTTTATCACTAGCGAAGTCCGACTTGTATGTGGAATGTTGTGATGGAGTCTGCTATTTTAGTTGCATACCAAATGTAGCGCCATTGTCTGGCTAAAAATTTGTCTAAGATGTCCAGACTAAACATGATGATGATAGGAAATACTTGAAGATTTCAAGTAAAATCTAACAATATTGATAAAATAACAAGAAAAAGTCCACAACTCTAATGGAAAACAACAAAACAATAGTTTTTATAGCAATAACCCAAGATAACGAAAGGAAAATACCAAGATACAGGTGATCCTCAATTTGAGAGGAGGATCTATCTCTCCAATCCTAGATGCCACTAGAGCCTAAAACGAAACTCCAAGACTAAAAACAGCCATAATAATCATGCCTGCCCTAACCCTAATGCAAACTCCTACTTAAATCAAACATAAAATTAACCAAATAGACTAAACAACCCCTCTCTCTCTCTTCCCTATGCTGTGGACCCCACTCGTAAGGAGGCGACCCCTTGAGCCGGCTGTTCAGCAAGCTTGCGCTTATTGTATGTTTGGAACCGACCCAAGGGATGTGCCGGCTGGACCAATCTAGGTGTATCAATACCCAACTCCCAAAGAATCACCTTGTCCTCAAGATGGAAAGACGAAAATTGATCTTGCACTCCTCATAAGGCTCCCATGTCGCATCATAATCTGGGAGCTTCTTCCACTTGATCAACACCTCCTTTACCCCTCCTCCCTGGCGCACCCCTTTTAACTCAAGGGGTTCCAATACCACTTCCAAATCTTTAGTCAAAGTTGCTGGCAACTTTGAACTAGCTTTGTGATCCCCTACAACTCTCCCCAACTGTGATACATAAAACATTGGGTGTATGGTGGCGTTGGGGGGCAACTTCAAACGATATGTCACTGCTCCAATTTTCTCAACTATCTCATAAGGAGCAAAATATCTTGGAGCTAGTCAATATCACTTCCAAATATATAGTCAATGTTGTTGGCAACTTCGAACTCATTATGTGATGCCCTACAACTCTCCTCAATTCTGATACATTAAACACTGGATGTATGGTGGCATTAGGGGGCAACCTCAAATGATACTTCACTACTCCAATTTTCTCTACTATCTCATAGACGCCAAAATATCTTAGAGCTAGCTTCTTGTTCCTCCTGTTAGCAACCGTTCTTTATCTATAAGGTCAAAGCTTGGAACACCCTATACCCTGCTTCAAACCGAATATCCTTCTTGTGCCCATTCACCTGTTTTTTCATAATCTGTTGCATCTTCAACAGATGCCTCTTCAATTCTTCCAACACCCTGTCTCTCTCCTCCAAATACTTCTCTACTGAAGAAACTGGGGTGCTACTATGCCCAAAACGCACTAGGTGAGGTGGATCCCGTCCATACAACACTTTGAATGGGGTCATTTGAGAAGAAGAATGATATGAAGTGTTGTAACATTACTTTGCCCATGCTAACCACTTGGCCCACATCCGGGGTGTCTCTGACACAAAGCATCATAGGTATGTCTCCAAGCTCCTATTGACCACCTGCGTCTGCCCATCTGTCTGCGGATGATAGGCGGTGCTCCTCTTAAGTACGGTCCCTTGTAGTCTGAATAACTCCCTCCAAAAGTGGTTTATGAACACCTTATCCATATTAGATACTACAGACACTGGTATCCCATGCAATCTGATCACCTCCTTGATAAACGCTGATGCCACTGTCATTGCTGTGTAGGGGGTGACGTAGGGGAATGAAATGAGCATACTTGCTCAGTCTATCCACTACCACCAAAATCACTGTGAACCATTCCGATCGAGGTAATCCATCTATCAAATTCATGGATACCTCTTCCCACGCCTGACATGGTAGAGCTAAGCGCTGTAGCAATCCTCCTGAGACATGGCCATGTAATTATTCGTCTGACATATCTCACATCTGGCTACCATCTCTTTCACATCCTTATGCATCCCCTTCCAATACAACTCTGAGGCTAGTCTTCTGTATGTCTTTTGCACCCCTGAATGACCCCAATTGCATTCCCATAGAACTCATGGAGCATATGTGGAATATGGGTTGATGTCCTAGGCATCACAAATCTCTCCTGGTATAGAAGCCTCTCACCTTCTAAAGATTACCCTTGGTGGCTACTCCCCTCCTTCAATAAATCAACTATAATCCTTCCCAACTCCTCATCCCGTGCACTCTCCTCCTTAATGGCCTCCTAATCCAGCATTAGTGGTATCGACACTGCTGTCCTCTGTAACTCTCTCATACATCTAGACAAGGCATCTGCTGCTTTGTTCTCCATTCCCAGACTATACTGGATTTCAAAATCATAGTCCAACAACTTTGGCAGCCATCTCTGGTGCTCCTCTTTCACTATCCTCTGTTTCAACAAGTACTGCAGGCTTCGTTGGTCTGTCCTGAGTCTCCTGGCAATGAAATGTCAGCCTAGCAAGTAGGGTCGGCACTTCTGAATGGCTAACACGATGACCATCATTTCCCTCTCATAAATATATTTCAGTTTGTCCCTAGCTATCAACACCTGACTGAAATAGGCGATGGGTCGATGTCTCTACATGAGTACTGCTCCCAATCCATACTTTGAGACATATGTCTCCACTAAGCTAGTAGGGCCAAGACCGGCACAATGGTCATGGCCTTCTTCAAGCTCTCAAAGGCTATTGTGGCCGCCTCCCCCCATAAGAACCCATCCTTCTTCAACTACTTTGTCAGTGGGCATGCGATGGTACTATACCCCTTCAAGAACCTTCTGTAGTAGCCTGTAAGTCCTAGGAATCCTCTCAACTCCCAGAGATGCTTGGGCACTGACCATCTCTACATAGCTTCAAATTTGGCCTAATTTGCTGACACCCCCTCAGAAACTACTTGCCCCAAGTACTCCATCCTGGCCTTGGCAAAACAACATTTCTTCAGGTTGACCCTCTGCTGATGCTCTTGTAACACCTCTAAAACCCTCCTAAGGTACTCTCAATGCTCTTCCTCTGACCTGCTGTAAACCAAGATATCATCAAAAAACACCAACACAAATCTCCTGAGATATGGTCTGAAGTCCTTGTTCATGAGGGATTGGAAAGTGGCTATGGCATTAGTGAGGCCAAAAGGCATCACTAGGAACATTATATCCTCAAGTTTGGAGTATTTTGGAGATCAATTAACCTTATTAGTTTCCAGTTAAAGAAAAAAATAAGGAAAAAAAAAAAAGAGGTGGAGTGACTTGTGGGTTTTCTCTGATTGTGAGTTTTCTGCTTCTGTACTATTGAACGATGTTGTTTGGACTGAGATTAATTCTAAAATGAGAGGTGGCATGACATCAGCTATTTTGTGCTAAAAGTTCTGAATTATATGCCATAGAACACTATTTATAGACCTATCATAGATTAGGTTAATAAATAATGTTGACAAAGGATCAAAATTAGATTAATCTCATTTTTTAATTTAAAAATCTCAAAGATAAAATACTTTTTAGTTAGGAAACCCTGCTACAGCAACTTGCATGCCAACTTTATGTGCAAGTATTGGGATATAAAAAAAATCTTGCAATCCACTTTTAGTTTTTTTTTTTTTTAAACAATGTCAAAGATGAGTCGAAAATCACCAATCCATGTTAACAAAAAATTCACGCCTTTAGTCAAAAATAAGTTTTATGTCCACCATTCTCTCTCTTTTGGAAAAAAAGCCAATAACCACGTCATCATATTCAACTTTGATTTTGCTTGGATCAATTTATAACGACTCATTATTTTATTCATATGCTCTTCCAAATTATTCTTCCCTTAAAACTCTTTTTTAATAATATCTCAAAGTAACATTTTCATATTTTCTTATTGTTTTCATTGTTATTGAGATAGTATTATATTTGCTTTTGATGCACCTAAGTTGATTGAAGCTTTTCGATCTCTTATCTTTTACTTTTAATTATTTTATGTATTATTTTCTGCTTCCTTTGTCCCAAGCACATTTATACTTTATAAGGCACATTATAGCTCATATCGTACATAGACATACTTCTTACGTTGTTGGCGTGGCAAAACACTTAAATAAAAAATAGCTCTTGCTATTTGCATTATTTGTACACTATGCATCATATCGCATAGTGCACATAGTGCACTCTTTTTTGTTTTGATTTTTTGAGTGGCTTTTTAATTATTTTGGTTCAGGATTTTAAGTAGGAATGGCAGCCTGGTTTATGCAAAATATAATATCACCACGATTTGAAGATAAAATCATTGTTATATAAATGATCTGATTTTTTTATTGAAATGATGCTAATTAGTATTTGATAGAGAAAGTGGATGATAAGTTAGATGAAGTGGTTGACATTGAGTATTATTGCTAGAGCTAGTGATGTTTATGAAAGAAACTACAATAGTTGAGATCGATATAAAGGAAAATAAATTAATCTTGATTTAGGCCTCACATGCTTGTAAATGAACCCGAAAATGATGAACAACATTATGATTTTGGGGATGATGATAATGAAAAAAGGTGAGTCTATTTTGGCGTATGATGTTGATGCTAATGTTCCAAGGATGGCTAGTAATTATTGATGAATATATGACTTGCAAACAAACTATTTGTTTTGTTTCCAGCCTATTCTCTAAAGCTTATCATTTTATTCTTGTATTATGCATTAATATGCACATGATAATTTTAAGTTGAAACCTGATTACTTTGTTTTGCCTTGATAGTTTATTTTTCAATCTTATTGTCTTTTGTCAACTTTCAAGTATGTTGAAGCAATTATATGTTCTATTTATATGTCATTTATTATTTTTGAGATATTTTCTCTCTTATATTATTGAATTGTTAATAATTTATTTGATATTTTATATTATTTTTGCAATAGGACATGCCACTCTATTCACTTTGGCTCAGGAGACTTTTGTGCCATTGTGCATATGTTTTTGTTATTGGCGTTTATGAACCTATTGTATAAATAATTAAAAGTTACAGCTTTTGTTTTCATCACTACACTTATTATCAGGCTTATAATCATTATACTTGTTTTTATTTTTGCCATTCTTTGAAATGCATTTTTTTTTCTTAATAGCATTTTGCATATCCTCACTCTTCCATCAAGTCTCCTTGCTTGTTTACAATTTGTTTCAAGTCTTCTAAAATTTATATGATAATTTTCTTAATAGCCTAGCTTTCTTATCCCAAATTAGGAATTAGGATTGACCCTACTAAAGAATTTCAATGTCTCTTTTAGCAATTTGTCTTTAAAAATTATCATCTTAGGACAATTATCTTATTTGATTGTTTGCTTTATACCTATAAGATATACATCTATAACTAATACATCATTTTGTGTAATCAAATTCTCTTTTTGAACCACCTTATAACTTTTATAAAAAAATTCTTTAAAGAAGAAAAGTCCATTTATGAATTCGTGTCTTTATGAAAACAATATTAAGAGGATTTGTTCTACATAAGTATGCTCATTTTAACAAACTGAAGTTATCTTCACTAAATCAATGGCTTGATGTCGGATTATGATGTGTTGGTCTATGAAGAACTCAATTTAAACCTATTTTGGAACTCATAACAGATTTTTATATGAGCCAAGTCATGAAAACTATAAAAGTGGAAACGCATTCATTCATATTGAGCAGGTAGGTTGCGTCAGATGAAGTTAGGTTACTCCAATCCATGATGAATACCATGAAGGAACTTGTGGGGTTGTATGATTTGTGAAGTCAGATACTGCATTCAAGGATGGAGTGGAAGAAAGGAATACAAGAGCCATAGTCTACGGAATTAGTAAGCTCCATGAATAATAATGCTATGTTGAGGTTCAGGATTCATACTTCTTTGTGTTTAATCATGGATATATATATTTTATGGTTTAATTATTGTAAGTTCCAACGTGGGTTTCATTTGCCTTTATAATTTAATGTCATAATTAAAATCTGTTAATGTTGTTTAAAAGTATCGATTTGGTCTTGTGGAATTGATTAATAACAATTAAATGAAGCGTGTAATTTTATTTTTGCCTTGTTTATAAATTTCTCTTCAGTTGGGTTCCGTCTTGTCCATAAATTTGCTTATATTTTAGAATTTATTTTCGATTTTATTTGCTAATAATGCTTTTCTGCATAGGTGCAAATAGGTTCTACTATTTGTGCTTGAATGAATTCTTAGCTTTTGGTGGTGGTGGTAGCTTCGCAATATGCCTGGAAGAGGATTTGTGAGTATATCAAGTGCTTTTCTAGTACTTATTTAGCAACTCCTTATTCAAATACCCTTTGAAGAACCTGTAATGGGAAATAAAAATAGATGAAACTTAAAAAAAAAACTAAGAAATTATTGATATTGCTCTCTTTGGAAGATTGCGTGGGACAAGTGGACCTTCTGAGACATTTGGGAACATGTGCTTGGCTCACACTGAAGATTTTGAATTGAAGAATGTGGAGGTAATATTAAACATGTTAACGTTCTTAGTTCTTACTCTATACAACCCCATATTATTTCTTCTCAAGCATTGAAGTTCAAAATACGATGTCTCACTTTTTTTTCTTGTTATGTTATTCTTTTGTTTGTTTTGCATATTAACTTATAGAGATTGTTAGCATCTCAACCATATTGTATTTAACGTTAAATCATATTGCGTTTATTCCTATACATCTTAGTTTTTACTTTTTTTTTTGTTATTTTTGGTTTTCATATTTTCTTATAGAGGACTTGGGCATTAGGCCTTGCATCATCACAAGTGCAAAAATTTATGAACGCATGTTTAGTCCACCTCAGTAAGACGACATTGTCAACTCCAAGTTTTGATCTAGAAAGTTTAAGATTGATCATAGACTGATAGCCAATCGAATGAGCTAGGGTATTCCTAGAAGTTACATGTCAAGCCCAGAGTTAATTAGGGCAAGTAGTGGGTAGGATGTTCTCTATAAGTGTTGTATCACAACTTAATCTATGTGATGCTTAGTTGGAAACATCATATGCAAATAATGTATCATAATTAACCCAATTTCAAAATGATGTAGATAAGTGCTGAGCAAGTCTCTAACCAAGTTTTATGTTATTCTTTTGTTTGTTTTGCATATTAACTTATAGAGATTGTTAGCATCTCCACCATATTGTATTTATCATTAAATCATATTGTATTTATTCCTATACATCTTTAGTTTTTTGCTTTTTTTTTTGGTTATTTTTGGTTTTCATATTTTCTTATGGAGGTCTTGGGCATTAGGCTTTGCATCATCACATGTGCAAAAATTCATGAACACATGTTTAGGCCACCTCATAAAACGACATTGTCGACTCCAAGTTTTGATCTAGAAAGTTTAAGATTGATCATAGGTTGATAGCCAATCATGTGAGCTAGAGTGTTCTTAGAAGTTACATGTCACGCCTAGAGTTAATTAGGGCAAGTAGTGGGTAGGATGTTATCTATAAGTGTTGTATCACAACTTAATCCATGTGATGCTTAGTTGGAGACATCATGTGCAAATAATGTACCATAATTAACCCAATTTCAAAATGATGTAGATAAGTGACGAGCAAGTCTCTAACCAAGTTTTTATGTATTATTTGGAATTTAGCATCTTTAAAGGGAATGCTAAAGAATTAGTGGACACAATTATCACAATTATTAGAGTGGTAATAAATATCAAATGATTCTAAAAAGTTAATTTTGAAATAGGAAACTATCCAAAAATATTAGGGATTGTTATAAGCTATTGTATGTTGGCAATATTGAAAATTATATTGGGGTATAAATGGTATTTGATAGAGAGTTCAATAATAAGGTTGTTGGCTAAATATCACAACTTTAAAAGGGACCGGTAAAGAATCAGTGGACACAATTATTAGAGCGCAAGGCTTAAAATTGCACAATTGAGTATTTATGCGTTTTTTGTCTGTGAGGCAAGGCATAATACTTAAGATATTTTGAGGCGTAAGCCTTAAAGTCCAAAAATTGCGTAAAGTTAAAGTAAATGTTAAGTAATTTTTTGTATAATTTTCATGACTGCTCGAATTAACGAGGCTGGAATAGACGGTCGAATGGCTAATTGAATTTTTATTTGTTAAAACTATCTCTAGATGTTTGCAAGAGGTTGTACCCTGATGTATGCTTTTTGCTTATGATATTCTTCTTGTTGATAAGACTAGAGAGGGAGTTGAAGGTAAACTTGAATTATGGAGGTCAACCTTAGAGTATGAAGGATTTCGTTTGAGTAGATCTAAAACTGAATATATGGAGTGTAATTTTAGTAATAATAGTTGTTGCGGCGGGATTGTTCAGTGTGATTTGGGATGATCAAGTCATTAATAAGAGTACATGTTTTAGATATCTTAGATCAATTGTTCAGTGTGATGGTGAAATAGATGGTGATATTATAAGTAGAATTCAAGTTGGATGGTTGAAGTGGAGGAATGCATCGGGCTTGTTGTGTAATCGAAAAATCCCCCTCAAACTAAAGGGAAAATTATATAGGATGGTGGTTAGACCTGCAATGTTTTATGGTGCCGAATGTTGGCCATTAAAAGAGAAGCAAAATATTAAGTTAAGTGTTGCAGAGATGAGGATGCTCAGGTGGATGAGTGGCTTTACCCTTAGAGATGTGATACAAAATGAGCATATACGTGAAAAGGTTGGAGTAGTGCCACTGGAAGATAAGATTAGAGAAAGCCGTCTTATATGGTTTGGTCACATAAAATGGCGGCTTTTCGATGGACCGGTTAGGAAAGTAGATGTATTAAATTTGACTTATGTTAAGAAAGATAGGAGTAGACCTAAAAATACTTTGTTAGAAAATAGTAGAAATGATCTTTCTTTGTTTGATTTAAACGAGAATTTGACTTTTAAGATGACAGCGGAGAAAAATGATTCATGTAGCCGACCGCACATAGTGGGACAAAAACTTGATGTTGTTGTTGTAAGAAACATACTGCTCAGATTTAATTGCGGGTTATAATTCTCACAAGCATCACTGGACATGATTAGGCTTGTAAGATGGCCTAAAAAAATCACACGATCATATCCAGTTACTAATTTAGTTGACAAGTCATTCAGATCCTTCATGCTGGAGGCATTCATTCTATTTATCTGGGAAGTTTTCCATTTATAGCTGAATCTCAAATTGAAATATAATTTGAATTCTTTCAAATTTTAGCTTCTTTCCAGTCTCAGCTATTTTGATATTTATTTGCTTTGTTGCTCTGCATTGCAGCTTTGGAGTTTCTCCCATTCTTCCCGTTACCTCGTCTAATCAGTCCAGGAAGTTTGCTTCTACCATCATTATTTCTTCCACTTATATATTATTTATTTCATTTATTCATTTATATTGTATCTCCTTTTTTTTTTTTTAAAGTAATAGGTCATAAATACAGAGTTTTTAGAAATATTTTTATAAGAGATTAAATAATGGGGATATTTTATTAATTATGTGTGTCATGTGTGCTTAAATGTTCAATTACTTGATGTATGCAAACAGTTAAGATTAATTTTAGTTTTTTTTAATAAATATTTTTTTGTTGGACTTTTGATTTTTTTAATATAAATTAGACTCCGTTTGGAATAGTTTTTTTTATTGCTTTTTATAATAATTTTTTAATAATATTTTTTAAATCATAAAAAATTAGTAGCTAAAAGCTGTTCCAAATAAAGCCTTAATTTACAGAGGATTTGATCTTTAGGATTTAATAATAATGTGGAATAAAATATATATATTGGAGAGAGATTGTCGTTCAGGCACCTCCAACCGAAAATTCCATTTTTCACTGCAAAATATAGCAAAACTCTAAAATGCGGTAATGCTGCTCCAATCGAACTTCATTCCGCGGGCTTCATCGTCTTGTAACTAACTGTCTTTCTCTATTTTGCGGGCTTCATCATCTCGTTGACAGAAAAATTTAGTGGTTGAACAGTGTGATGTCAATATTGGCGTCGCATTTTTCACCCGCCATAAAATAGCGGCAAAATTACCGTTTGGTTGAAGCGACGGAAGAACGGCAAACAATTGTTTGTTGTTCCTTTGGAGTTGCCAAGCTTATTTTTTTTTTTTAATCAATAAATAGGGGTGGACCTGGTCTTAAGTGAGGAAAATGGGTACAAATAGAAAAACTACACCACTGTCCAGGGGCGGAGCCAGGAAATTTCTTCAGTGGGGGCATAAATTACTTCTTTTTTTTTAATATTCTCTCAATTTGTTTATTTAAATTTGGGCCGATGTTGATAGTTTTTTGTTCGTTTGTTTAATTATTATTTTTTAAAAAGATAAAATATAAGATAAAAAATAATAACTTATAACGCTTACTCGTTATATTCTAAAAAAATTTAATAATTACTTCAATATCAATACAATCAAATAATATTTATTTCTTAATGTATGACTAAAATATCATTCTTATGCTAATGCCTAATTCTATTTCTTAGCCATTTTTTATAATAATCATAAAAAAGTTATGTTTCAACTTATCATATAATATCATAATATCAACACAATTAAATAAATAATAATAATAATACATTATTAAAAATAAACAATAATTCTTCCAAAACATGGCCGTGCCCCTGTGGAACCGCTTCCCTCCGCCTTTGGCCGTCATGTATTAGCCTCCTTACTTTATTTTTTCGGAAGCAGGTTACTGTCATGTTTGGGAAACTCTCTGTTTCTCTTAAAGATGAGAGGTTTTTATTAATATTTTAATGGCTTAGTTTCTCTTTTCTTTCTAAAGAAGTCAACAAGGGGATTCTTTTTATGAAGAAATGGAGATGCTGTAAAAAAGCGAGGGGATTGAGATGTGGAGATAGAGCAGTCTCCTTATGTATACTCTATTTAAGAAGGCAATGACAAGAAGGGTGAGAAAGTCTGTAGTGAAGAAGATGAAGGTGAGGATGTTAACGTGCTTGTGGTGGCATCAGGAGACAAGTACGAAGCAAAGCACGGAGGTGGAGTGTTGATGTTGGCACGACTGTAAGCCGAGTTGAAGCGGAGGACAGCGTCGGTGGCAAGGTTGGGCAGAAGGCAGTGAGGGCGGTAGTTTTTTTTTCATGGAGCCGGTGGGGGCACGTGCCCCCAGTGCCCCCACCGTGGCTCCGCCACTGCCACTGTCTAATGGAAGTAATTATAGAAAAAGCATCATCTTCCTCAAAAATCCAAAACTCCAGAAAAGACCAGAACACCGACAACAATCGGACTCAGAAAGGGAGAAAACCTCCTAAAATAACCGAACCGAAGATTAACAACCTAGTTGCCGAGCAAAATCACCCAAGAAGAGACTGTAGAATCCAATCATCATAGCCCAAACAACCAAACAAAACACTCAAGAAAAATAAAACTCTCTTTAGAAAATACCACAAACTAACAAAGGAAATCATAAACTCCCTTTAATAAAGAAAATTCTTAATTCAATGAAAAGAATCCCATTAGAAAATTTTTGCTAGAATAGCCTTTTTAATAAAACAACCAACCAAATCAGCACTAAAATGCTTATTTTCAAATATTATGTTATTTCTTTCTTTCCAAATAAAATAAATAGAATAACAAACAAACATGAAAAATAAATTTTTAACATTAGAATCCAAATGAAGATAAGAAATATAATCTATTAATTGAATCAAATTAGGCCTAAGCATAAAAAAATTTTAAATTGATAGAAAATTTGAAATAATGCGGAAAGAAAAATCACATTAAAAAAGAGATGATTGTGACTCTTTACCGCATTTAAACAAAGAATAAAAGAAAGATGAACATTCAAATTTCTTTTAACAAGGATATCAGACGTGTAAAGACCTTTCAATATTTCCATCCAAGCATAACGAGAAAATCTCAAGCATAAAACAACATGCTTCTACTCCAAGAGGAATCCGGATAAATTCCAGCAAGCTTATGAAGAGCTTTCCTCTTGCACCAAGGATCCTAATACAAAAAAAGAGAACTATTAGGAGAAATATTAAACAAAACCTTGCTTTTAATGTCTCTAGAAATATTGCTAATATTTTTCCAAAAGATAAAAACTTGAAACCAAGGATTCCAAAAAGAAATGTACTTAAATTTGATTCAACTAGCTAGCCAAAGGACGTGTCATTAATGATTCACTAAATAAGAGAACAACTATAAGAAAAATAAAGAGCTTGATGATCAATTATATCAAGACCGCCAATATTCTTTGACTTACAAACCTCTTTCCAAGCAATTATATGAATCTTCCTACTAGAAGAATCAATATGAAAAAGAAAATTATAACACATTTTTCTTATAAATTTAAAATAGAATTTAGGAAGAGAAATACCCATAATCCAATAGAAAATAGCATTAGAAATAATAAATTTAAGAAATTGAGGCCTTCCAACAAAAGAAAGCAATTTTACTTTCCAACCTGCCAAAAGCAAAGTAATATGACTAAAGGTTGATAATAAGAAATCTTAATTCTTTTACTAGAAATAGGCAATCCCAAATATATTAAGGGACGCTGAGAGATAGTAATACTTAAAACTTGACTAATTTCATCAGCTAAATGATGATTATTAAAGAAAGTAAGAGAACTCTTAGAATTATTAATGAACAAACCATAAGCAATAGAAAAATAAACCAAGATATCTTTAAGCTTTACATCATTCTCAATATACTTTATCAAAAATAAGTAGATCATCCGCATATGAAAGATTAGATAAAGGAGCATCAGTTGTCTTCACCCACTCAAAATCTTTATTATGAGAATTATCATCAAGAATATTAGGAAAAACATCCATAACAATACAAAAAAGATAAGGAGAAAGAGGACATCATTGACGAATACCCTAAGTAGAGCTAAAAAACCCATTAAGAGAACCGTTAAGAATAATAGAGAAATAAACATCATCAATGTACCCTTGAATCCGGGATATAAAGGTTTGAGGAAAACATTTCTGAGTCATTCTAGTAAGCAAAAATTCTCTAGAAACAATACCAAAAGCCTTATGATATCTAATTTTGCACAAAAAATATCTCTATAAGAATTATTGAATTCTCTTAAAAGTTCAACACCAAGGATGATATTATCAGTAGATATCCTCTTTTTTAATAAATCCATATTAAATAGTATGAATAATAAAAGACATAACCCCATGCAACCTGTTAGCCAAAAATTTTGCATGCCACAATCTTATTAAAAATATTACATAAAGCAATAGGCCTAAAATCAGAAACATTGGGAGCATTGTTCTTTTTAGGAATCAGAGAAATAGCTATAACTTTAGCAGCCCTAGGCTTAAAGCCAGTATTAAAATAATAAAGAACATCTTTACAAAGAAAATGCCAAACAATCTTCCAAGTGCTCTTAAAAAACTCGAAAGTAAAACCATATGAACCCGAAGCTAAAGAAGGACTAGTAAAAATAACCTTCTTGACCTCATCAACAATAACCATATTTATGAGAGGAGAACAAAGAAAATCTTGAAGAACCTTACCAACTGGAATAATGAAAGAAGAAGCAATGACAAATTTTGGAGAAGTAAAAACATACTTAAAATGCTGCACAAAAACATCAAAGATGCCTTTAGGCTCTGAGATAATCCCATGAGTAGAAGAAATGCCCCTTAATCCTATTAAAATTTTGTCTACACCAAATTTTAGAATAAAGGAAACCAAAATTTAGTCTACCTTTTGAAAGATCCAAGAAGATCATAAAGAGAAATTATCATTTAGATGATTATTAACTTCTTTCAGAGCTAAGTTAAGATGTTGATTCAAATGGTCCTTTTGAATCTGGCATAACCAATCACTTTGCTGCTTTTGAAGAGACTCTATAGAAAAAGAAACATGCTTAGAAGCAGCCCAAACACACTTCTTAATTAAACATTTTAGCATATGTAGTTTAAAATAGAGATTATTAATAGGATTCCTAACAGGAGAATTAACAAAAACCTCAATAAGCAAATTCCAAAATTCAGATTTTTTACACCAATAATTCTTGAACAGAAAACTATTACTAAAAAATACCCTATTATTATTACAAGCAATAAGATGGGAATGATCAGAACAAAAATGATTATCCACTAAATAATAAGAAAATGGAAAAAGGATCCAACCAATTATTATCAACAAACACCCTATCCAATTTTATATGAATATGATTATCACTTTGCTGGTTGAACCAAGTAAAAAAAAATGCACAATAGAAGAGAACTTAATAAGTTTAAAATTAAATTCCCACATTTTGCTGCAAGGAAGAGTATTATCACTAGATTTCTCATTAGCAAATCTACAATAGTTAAAATCTCCTAAAAAAACCCAAGGAGAAGAAATATTAGAAGCTAAATTAAGAATATCACTCCAGAGATAATTATTTCAACAGCCAAATCAGAAGCATAATTCGCAGTGATAATAAAAGAAGAAGAACCAATCTGAAGAATATTATGAATGAACTGACTTGTAGAAAGAATAGTAGTAAAAGAAATACACGAAACATTCCATTTTAACCAAATCCTGCTAGCATTAGAAAATTAAAATTATGACAACTACCTTCTTACTGGAAA